ACACACACAATTTGTACATGAGCAGACCTTGTTTTATTCTGATTCTGAACTTTTGTAACACTGTCCTTGTCCCAGCAGCCACAGGCCAGAAAAGTGGAAACCGGACTTGAAAATCACAAGGTTCTATTCTGATAAATATTAGGGCCGCGGTGGCCCAGTGAATATAGGCTGACTCACTGCCCAGGAGATCCTCAGGATTCTTCAGTCTGGCGCCCCTTGTCAGGGTGCCTAAATTAAACCTTGGCAATTTGAATTTAACGGAGAGCAGGCAGAAACGCCAATGTCCGGGCAAAATTTCGACCGTATACATATATTCATTACTCCGGTTGATTCAGAAAGGTAAAAGTTTCAAACCCATTTCATTTCGCGTCATTTAATTAGATATATACGGTATATATTATTTGTTGTTATATTTGTATTTAGGGTTATACTTTAATACAATCAATTATGACATGTTTCATAACCCGTTTTGTCACCTACACAAACAAACACATTTAACTTCTGACTTTACCTGTCGTTTATAATTCACATTCTTGGCACGTTATGAATAACATTGATATTAATATGCTGTTGTGTTTGTAATATTCTAATCTATTAGTAGGTGCTACGCAGGAGGACCGCACTACGCGCAAAACAAAATCTACGAGATAAATCTGCGGACCAGACAGAATACATAGACATTGTACGTAACATTCCACTCTATGTTGTTTCGTGTGTAACATTCCACTTTATGTTCTGTATGTAACATTCCACACTGTGTTGCTTTGTGTGTAACATTCCACTATATTATGCTGTTTTGTGTGTATCATTCCACCCTATGTTATGTATGTAATATTCCACACTGTGCTGTTTTGTGTGTAACATTCCACCCTATGTCCTGTATGCAACCCCCAACACTGTGTTGCTTTGTGTGTAACATTCCACTATATTATGCTGTTTTGTGTGTATCATTCCACCCTATGTTATGTATGTAATATTCCACACTGTGCTGTTTTGTGTGTAACATTCCACCCTATGTCCTGTATGCAACCCCCAACACTGTGTTGTTTTGTGTGTAACATTCTGTTCTATGTTGTTTTGTATGTAACGTTCCGCTCCATGACTTGGTTTCGATTCCCCACTTGTACGTGACACGGAGTAAGGACGCCTGTAAAGCCTCATGGGTTTTCTCCAGGACCTCCGGTTTCCTCCTACTGCTAAAGACCCCTACGCACAAGGGAATTATTGAAACAAATTTGGACCATATATTAGTTCTGAAATGACCTAATTTGTGTCATTTGGACGTTATCTGTGTGTGTAATGTTCTAATCCTTGTAATATAATATTGGTAATCAATCGCTTAGTGATATAGGTATATAATAACATAATCATTATTATAACGATAAAGAGACTTTCCCCAGTTTTAATAATGTTGGTTTTTTCGGGTTTGCGCTCAATGAGGTTCGATCTCCTGACTCACTGCACCAAATCGAGGTGTCAATGGCAATCCGGTGCCTATGAACAATCTCAAGATAAAATAATCAATGTTGAGAATATGTGTAGTTTTAGAAGAAATTGAGGGACTCAAAATTCCCCGAACTGTGCCTATTATTTCTAACTCTAGCCTGCGCCAACATATTTCAACGTTTAGATCAACGGCCAAGAAAAGTCCAGAAAGTATATGCAGCTTTACGTGATGGGTCGACAGTACTGGTGTGGGAATAAGACATGATGACCACTCGGATACCACTTATAAAATCAAGGTTCACATAACTAACATTCATATCGTATTAGGTAAGCCGTCCCTTTAATATAAGTACTTATTAACTATTTAATCGCCTTATCAAGGTAGTGTGGCAAACTTGCCATTTTTCACAACACATCTCTTATTATAGTGGATGTCTTAACATAAAATGGTATTATATTTGTATACATAATATGAGCCTGTTTGTTTTACGGCGACATACAAACTGGATCATTTCGGGACTAACATATGGTTCAATTTCAATTTCAGTAATTCGCTTGCGCGTAGGGGCCTTTAGCAGTGGGAGTAAACTAGGCGTTGATTTTTGGCTTGACATGTGAATAAAATTGTCCAATTTATGTAATATTTAAGGCCAACTGAAAGTTCTGCATTAGGCAGATTTAGCTCTTACATAATGCATCTTTAAGCTACAGGTTTATATATTACGTTAGAATTAACAGATTATTTAGTAAATCATTAAACTACAAGTTTATATTTTATGTTAGAATTAAAAACAAGTGTTTATCAAACCATTAAGCTACAGGTTCATATTTTATGTTAGAATTCAAATTTTGTTTATCAAACATTCAACTATTGGTTTATGTAATTTAACGAACTAATAAGGTATTATAATATCCATAAGTATTATAAAAGTTATCATATTATGATATGTATAAGTATTATAAAATATTATAAAATATATTATAACATGTAAAGTATTGTAAAGGATATTATTATATTATAATATGTATACGTTTTATCATAAAAAAATAGTATAGCATATTATAATATGTGTAAGTATTAGAAGTATATATAAAAATAAGTATAAATATTATAACAAACAGTATATTTATACATACATGTATTATAACAAATATAATATTATAATAGTATTATTATAACACATAGTTTGTTACAACACACAGACTATTATATAATAATGCATATAAATTCCATACAGATCGGATGACCACTTTTGTTGTTCGAGCATTCACAAGGTTCAACGCTTCATTGTTTCACTAATTTATATAATGCATATAAATTTCACAAAAATCGAATGATAACTTCTGTCGTTAGAGCGTTCATGGAGATCGACAAAGTGAAACAAGGGTCATAACTCTAAAAGTAATTAACGGAAATTGCTGAAATCCAATAGACTTCTTAGTTTCCCTAATTTAAAGGATGCATATAAATTTCACATAGATCGGAACATAATTTTTGCCGTTAGAGCGTTCACACGGTGTAACAAAGGGAAATAAGGGCCATAACTTCAGAAAAAATTAACGGAAATTATTAAAATTAAATAGGATTCTTCATCTCAGTAATGTAAACAACATATATTATTATATCGATTTCAAAACAATCAGATCATAAATGTAGTCTGTAGAGTGTTCACAAGAAAATGTGAACGACGGACCAACAGACCGACGGACCGTCGGACGGACGGAGGCTACGGCAATATACGATCACATTCCTATCTGGGCGTATAAAAAGCAATTTGCCTGTAAACACCAATTTAAGTTTTTTTAATGGTTTGTATTGTAACACCTGTGCGTCATAATATTGCTCAATGCCGTTGAATTTATCAAATATATTATGCGTGAATTAAATTTAAACAACTGATAATATATTATTTCTAAACAACGGGTATATATTATATATATTTACATTGCTCATAATGACATATACTTTTACGCAACAGCAGTTCAACAATATTAACATGTACGTCACAAAATAAAATGACTGAATAGAAAGGAAGGATGCGACTGAAAGGAGAGATGCACATGGGAAATGTAATAACATAATTTCTATAGATCGAGTGTTTATTTATTGAAATTGGTTTATTATACAAATGATATTCGACATTATACGGTAAATTTATACTCAACACAGCTTACTATGTGAGCTATATATACTGACGTCAAAGTGAATAACTACACTGTGAATGATAGGGTATGTCACTCTAGGCGTTTATTTAATAATCCGACAGCTGTGTAAGAAACACAGTGCCCTAAACACCCGTCTTAACCTATATTATGTAATATTTTATTTAGTAATAAATAACACAAACAATAATTGATTAACTTAAAATACAAGGACCAAAAGATAAGCGAAGAATAGAACCAGGAGCTTGCCTTCAGAGTCAATTACCCAATGAGGTCCAATTTGAACCATGAACGGTGGACACACAAAGTCCCGCTTTCACATATATAAGCTATGTGAACTGAGTTAAAATTTGGTATTAAAAAAGTCCCCAATTTGAGGAAAAGATTCGGATTTTCTTGGGGCTGGACGGCGAAGGAAACGAAATAAGGTTTAGCGTCCTACTTTTCTGCATCAACAGGGATTATGAAGACGGGCATATGTCATAATGCTGTAGGGATGTTTTGCACGGACATTGGCGCTATGGTCACTCTTAAATCGTGTCTATGGGAGCCACGGTGGCTCAGTCGATAAAGCGCTGGCCCATTTAATAGGATGTCTAGGGTTCGATCAAGGTGTTGGCCGAGAAATTTCCAGGAATTTTCCACCGTGGACCTCCCTTTTTCATAAGGAACAGCGTCTAGTTGTTCGAATGGGAGGAAAACCGAGGTCCCGTGCACACGCTGGCGTGAACTGAAAAGATATCTTGACAGTAAAGTTGGAATTCAATTGCTGTCCGGGCAATTTCCCTAAAAGCACACTGTATGGCATTTGTCGGTCTTCATAAGCCCAGTTGGCGCAGAACCCTAGGACGTTAAACCCCATTTCATCCATCCCTACGGTAATGGGTTCTTTTATCTGACCTCGGTTTTACTTCCTATCCAAATGACTAGACACTGTGTCTTACCAGGCTCCCCGTCCAGCATCACTGACTAAGAGAAACCTCGCTAGAAAACCAAGGGCAAACTTCTCGGCCAACACCCGGTCGAATCCAGACCTCCTGATTAGTTAGCCAGGGCTTTATTCATATGGTGCATGTAATCGTCCCCTAAGCAACCGAGATTAAGTTAATTTTCAGAACATGTAAACCATTACCCCTTTCTTTTCAAAATGACGTAAAAACAATCCGGTTGATTTTATTGCAAATATAGTTTATACTGCTATGTATGTACTACTCAAACCTGAACTAAGTAAATCAAAATTTCCTATATATGTATAATAATTTAGTTCCTATTTTCAAGTGTCGTATATAACACTACATATATTATTATATACACATTGAATAATAACGGTACGTCATATATAATGCATTATATATAGCATACAACTTTATAGTTATATTTAAATGGCTTACCTTTAAATCTTGTCACACCATACGATAAAACTATTACTTGAGAAAATATATCAACGTCCACAACAACGTGTATTAATAGTTAAATAAATTCTCCTGTAGAGTCATCGGGGCCAGTACAAAAAACATGCTGTTGTAGAAACTTATTCAGTGAACCAGTACAGCGTAGTCTATCTTTTAAACATGAGTATTGTAGCGCTAGTATACGATTCATCTATACGTAAACAACAATAGATGAACGCTTGACTCGTATGATTGAGAGTCCGTCCATTTGTTGTTCACGGTTTAACCGTGTCGTTAAAGGGACATTAAAAGCAGAAATAACGACGCCAGATATAAAATGACCGTTAAGAAGATAGGCTATAAAGTTAAAAGACAAGATAACATGATAGGATATGCTTGCAAATAGATTATCTTATCTCATGATAGGCGAGAAATGGAGTTAACGTATATCACTAGTATGGATATTTACTTAGGTTAAAAGTTTTATTTTTTAAACAAAAGTGAAATGAAATAAAATGACGTTAAGCGTCCTATTGTTCTGCACCAACTGGGATAATGAAGACTGTCATATGGGGAAAATTTTGTTTCGGCAGCGGGGCTACAGCCTACAATTTCGAATTCCAATTGTCCGGGCCTCTTTTACGTGCACGACAGCATGTACTCAGGATTTCGGTTCTTGTGCCATCCGAACGACTAGGCCTTGGTTTCCTTACCAGGTCCCATGCCTTTCGACACCACCGACATGGGGAACCACACAGCAAAATCCCGAGTTAAGTATACGTACATATCTCTCTTATAGGATAGCAGGATACGTTTAATATTTGAATACCGGGTGCCACTTTAAAGGACCAACATCAAAAAGTAGAACAGGAAAATACCCGGGTCTTCGCCATTAGTCTGTAGCGAATGTATTAACCGTTATTTATACCCACGTCACCAATAACGCCATTTAATCCGCATTCATAATATAAAGATCATATAAGTTTTCAATGTATCAACAATTGCACTTTTATGTAGTAATTGCCAGTCTGAAAGATAACTAATTTGGGTTAATTAGATTAATCAGTTGCGATAAACAAGTTACGTGAGGTCAATTACTGGATTTTACACAAACGTAATCTTTATGAAGGCAAATCCATATCTTATAAAGATATAAATATATATTAATTAGTAACTCATTTTTAAAACTATATATATTACTTTAAATCAAATGTAAATATATTTGTTTGTTTTATGCCTATTTTCACAAATAATATAATATAGGTTCTTTTTATTGCTATTTTTAGATCGTAGTGATATCGAGATAAATATAGCAACACAAGCATCTTTATATAACGTACAGTTATGTTAGACCTGTGAAATTAAATGAAATGAGGTTTAATTAACGTTCTACTTTTCTGCACCGACTGGGACAATAAAGACGGTGTTGGACCAGTGTGTAGTAGGAACGTTTACGACTATTATTTTTATAATAATGTGTTCTTTTTTTTAATATCCAACTATACATATACGACTATTATTTTATAATGTGTGATATTTTAATATCCAACTAAACATTTACGACTATTATTTTAATATCCAACTATACATATACGACTATTATTTTTATAATATGTTATTTTTTTTTAATATTCAGCTTCACATATTCGTGAAATGTGTATGTAAAAGACGTACATAATATCAAAGAAAAATGTTCAAATGTCAGCGACATTGAGAATCTTGTGTATATATGTTTAGAAGAAATATTGGTTTGTTTGAATTAAAGTATTGTGGCGATTTAGCGTAAGTTTGAGAAAAAATGCTCCTAGTATAATAACATATTTGGAAACAGTACATCACTAATAGCTTTAAGATGGAAAAAAATATAGTTTTCATAGTTTGTGATTAGTGTTTGTGATTGTTTCTAAATTGCCAACTTACATATGTTTACACTGACTGTAAATGTTGATAATATTTACAACAACACATTTCAAAATTTTAAAAGGGTCGCACAAATCTTTCTTCACAGCATAACTGCCCATGTGACTATAACAAATGAAATGAAATGAAATGGGGTTTAACGTCCTACTGTTCTGCTCCTAACTGGGCTAATGAAGACTGGCATGCGCCATACAGTGTGCTATGAGGAAATTTTGCCCGGACAGCAGCACTACGGCCTACTCTTATATCGAATTCCAACTGTCAAGGGATCTTTTACGAGCACGACAATGTGTACACGGGACCTCGGGTTTTCGTCCCATCCGAACGGCTAGACAGCTGTCCTTGTTAGGCCCTCCGTCCTGCATCACTGACAAGGGGGAACCACGCCGGAAAATCTGAATCTTTGTTGGCGTTCAATTTTTTAGGAAAGAATTTAGTGCCTTTGACACCGACATGCTGAATACGATCTACCAATATTATGGTTAGTTATTGCCCCAGCCTCTAACATTTAACACAACCTTTAAAATGCGTTTAGTAGGCGTATATTCGTTTCCTGGTGATTTCATGTTTACCTGTATCACCGATCTCATAAGTAGAAATGTTAGAATACAAAGATGGATGTAGGTGTTAATTGAACCATAATATAGACCGTCTCCAATTACTATTATATATATATATATATAATATATATATATATAGGTGACTGGCCTAGACTTGCACAAATTCAATTAGCGTTGTTTTCTGACTTTGTTATATAGAACATTAAATTCACAGACAGCAATAATTGTAAGAACCGGAATTTACAACGAAGACTACTTTTATGAATATGCGATCATTAGAGTCTTAATGTAGACGTCGCCTTTTAAATTTTCAAGTTGTAGCTATTGATAATACCATCTGACCAAGCTTGTCTTATTTCATCAACATTTTTTAAAATCTTCTTTTACTTCTTTGTAGACGAATCAATAGGTGAAAATATTCTTAGAAAGTTCAGTTAAATTTATACTCTTTTCCGAATCATTAACATTTGTTCAAAATGGTTTTAAATGGAATGTTCGAATTGAAAAATTGATTAAAGATGTTTTTGAAGTTACCTATTCACAGAAAGCGCGTTTGCTTACAACGCATATAGGCTACGAAACTCAATTTGTTTCTAGATGAAAGTGCCCCCTGTTTTGGGACAACGAACCGGGCCAGAAGCACTACTTATTTTGTTGCTTTTGTTCTCTGTGTTTTTGGACCTTAGGCACTAATCTTATTGTTCTTCCTCGTGGGACCGGTGCTCTTCGAATAATTCCAAGGCTCCGACAATTCATGCCGTGGCCTGCTTGTTCCGCGGACAGCATGATATGCTCTCACAATTCCAAGATGGCGGCGATAACGATCGGTTCGTAATCCATGGTCAGCTTGTGCTTGCTTTTCATTCAGATTGTTAAAATTGGAATATCTGAGTCGTGGATTCAGAATGTTGGACATTCACAACTAAACAATAGAAAGTGTCTACCTTGATACACGCCCAGAAAAAAAAGTGTGTTTGAAACTCGGAAAAGACCCGGCAAGTTAGATTCGTGACAATCAAATTCAACAGAAGTACCTGTTATACTGAAGCATTTTTCATTAAAAGCGTTCTCTTTCTGATACTCCTTTTAGCTAGACATAAACACGTAAACAAACGTTCGTTATCGATAGTGATATCAGGTGTTCTCCGTACTGCTTATTGATAAAATGAATAATTTCAGCAATCATGGTACATGGTAAAAGATAAAAGTGTCACAAGATCACATCAATGGGTCGTTAGCTATTTCATTTCCTCGAACCAGAAGTACCCCCCCCCCCCAAATTCATACCTGCATACCTAACATAATTCACAATAAAATAAAATTATACAAGTCTTAGTGAATTACAGAGCGGACAACAAACTTACCCCCCGTTTTAATGATACGACTAAAATTATTAGTTCAGATTAAGTTATCACCTTGGAAATGGACATTAATAATGATAAAGTTGCGTAACATTGATAACGGAGTTCTTCGAAACTTTAGTAGTCGAGAAGATTGCCGAAATGTCAAGCCATACTGAGATAAGGTTCTTGTCGATTTTATCAACAACATAAATTACGGGAAATTTATTTTAAAGGTAGGGGGTAGGTGGCCGAATGGTTAACGCGTGCGCGCTGTATCATAAGGTATGTCAGCGTGATTAGCTGAAAGTTTGAATTCAATACATGTATATGTAGTTCATTCAAATAGAAAACAAAACGAACCAACGTCAAAAAAGCTTAGGGCAAACCATGACTGCTAAATCTAGAGATGTAATTGTAAGCCATGGTGACATTAAGTTTATCAGTAATTTCACAATAAACAATAAGTCATGTAGTTTATATCAGTTGTAATACGCCTACTGGTTTGTTATATTGCTTTGCTGTAATATACAGGGTTTTGTACTATCGTTTGTTATAACATTATGCACTTGTATTTGTCTGATTTTTGGATCAGAAACTGGCCCCCAGCGCTATTCACCTTAATGACGTTCTTCTTGTACAACTGTGCACCGATTGACGGACTTTGACGTCACAATTCCGTGTGGCCGCGATGACGTCATGCACGGTTCCTGGTCCATATAGTACGCTCGTACTTGTAAAATCTATATTTAATTTAAAATAAAAAATAAAAAACTTTTAGTAAGAGTTGTCAGTTGAATTTGTAGAGCTAAATTTGTTACACTTAAAGATTGGTTGCTGTCCCAGGTTGTATCTTCTGGCTGTTTCCTATCTTGGCGAAACCTTAAGTTTTTATGTAGCAAAATGGGTAAACGAAAATACAAACTGCAGCGATTACATCTCTATATATTAATAAATCTTCCCTTAAATCATGTCCACGCAAGGTTGGTCATAAATGGCTAAAATAGACGACATGGGTCGGAGTAACGAGCCGCAACTTTGTAAAAGCCGACAAGTTCTACCTTTCCAAAACATAAGATGCATGCAGCCCTAAATTCACAAGCGCTTACATATATTCAAGAATATACTTCGGCATAAATTATTCCGTTTAGTTCCTAAAGAACCACTTTTGGTATACTGCATTGAAAACAGGCCAACGATGGGCCTGCTGCCACACCTCCCTCCAACTTAATCTTAATCCCCAACTAAAAAGAGAGAGAGGTGCAGTGGGTGCTGTATGGGATATGTATGTTGCGTGAGAGAGGTGTGCAGTGGGATTGGGTGAATGATGAAATGTGGGAGCGGTGCGTATTTT